AAAATCAAAAATAAATAAATAAATAAATAAATAAATAGTGGCAAGTCCAGAGCCTCCAGGTCTTAGACTGATAGGAGCTCTGACCATCACAGACCCCCATTTATGCAGTCAAACCTTTGTATTGTCTTTTTTATCCTAGCTGTACCCACCACACAGCCTCTGATATATTACTTTTTACTTTGTTGCACTGGGGATAAAACCCAGGGCCTTGCACATGCTAAACAGTGCTACCTCTGACCAACATCTTCAGGGCTGTTTTTTAGTTTGTTTTGTTTTGTTTTTTTGAGACAGGGTCTCACTATGTAGTTCAGGCTGGCCTTGGACTCACTATGTAGGCCAATCTGGCCTCAAACTCATGGCGATCCTCCTTCTGCCTTAGCCTCCCAAGTGCTGGGATGACAGGCGTGCATCACAACATCTAGCTCACACCTATTAGTTCTTAAATGTAATTATTTGGCATTTGGCATATTTACACCGAAATAATAAGCTTTATACCATATACAGGCTGAGTATCTCTAATCCAAACTCTAAAACTTTATGAGTGATGGCACCACACCAGAAGTACAAATTCTACACCTGATGTGGATGATGGCTCACTGTCAAAATGAAGGTACACTAGGAGCCAGGGATTTAGCTCAGTTGTTCCGAAGCCTGCCTTACAAGTGCAAGGTCCCAAGTTTGATCCCCGGCACCAAAACAAACAAACAAACAAACAAACAAAAATGAAAGTCCACTATATATACTGAATAGAAGTACCTTCAGGTTACATGCAGAAAAGGGTGAATTTCATGTGTAGATTTGGAGCCTCCACGGTATTTCATTAGGTATATGAAAATATTCAAAAGCAAAAAAAAAAAAAAAAATCTGTAATCTGAAACTCCTGGTCCCAAGGATTTGGATAAGGGATACTCTACCTGTAATGGTATAAATTACTATCTGTCTAAACTCTCAAGCCTGGCATGGTGCATGCCTGTAATCCCGGTAACTCAGGAAGCTGAAGCAGGAGGTTTGACATGAATTTGAGGCCAGCCTGAACTACACAGCGAGACCCTGTCTCAAAAGACCAAAAAAAATTAAAAATAACTTCTCAAATTGTTTCTCCACTGAAAATGAGTTAGTGCCAAATAGGAAAGCCTGAAAATCTGTCAGAAACCACTACCTTTAAAAACTGACAAGGGGCCAGGGATTTAGCTCAGTGGTTCCACTGCCTGCCTCGAAAGCACAAGGGCCTGAGTTTGATCCCCGGTACCAAAAAAAACACAAAACACCAAAAACCTGATGACAAGCAAAGGCATAGTGTTTCACCTCTGCTATCCCAGCACTCAAGAGCCTGAGGCAGGAGGAGTGCTGTGAGTCTGAGGCCAACCTAGGCTACATAGTGAGTTCAAGGCCAGCTTGGACTCACACAGTGAGACCTTGTCTCAAAATAAAGACTGATGACAATATACTATAATTAATCCTGACACTTCAAGACTATATTTTAAGCTGGGCAAAGCTGGGCATGGTGCACATTGCTTGTAATCCCAGCACTCAGGAGGCTGAGGTAGGACAAGTGCCCTGAGTTCCAAAGCCAGCTTAGGCTACGTACTGAGTTCAAGGATAGCCTAAACTACATAGTGAGAGACTATCTCAAAAACAAACAAACAAAAGATGAGCATGGTGGTGCCTGTGATCCCAGATACCCAAGAGCCTCAGGCAAGAGTAACACAAGTTCAAAATCTGCCTGGCCAATATGGCAAGACCATTTCAGGATGGGGGATCATATATAGCTCAGGGCTCCCTGCGTAATAACCCCCAGAATTAAAAATAATAAATTATATTTTATTTTTATTGGAACATTTACATGATTACATTTATCATATGTCCCCTCCCCCTTCCCTCCATCTTGGTCCCCATCTCATTTGCAAAAAATCTGTTTCCATTTCCTATTACAGTATTTATCTTTTATTTTGCTCTTTATTTTTCTCACATAAGAGAAACCATGCAATATTTAAGTTTGTACATCTGATTTATTTTACTTAACATTATGGTCTCATGGTGCATCCATTTTCTGACAAATGACTCAAATTTACCCTTCTGGCAGAGTATTACTCTGCTATGTACAAATATTGCATATTTTTTTTTACCTATTTGTTGATGACATGAAGGCTGCTTCCAAGATTTAGCTATTATGAATTGTGCTGCTATAAACATGAATACGCATGTGGCACTAAAATATGATGTCTTTAACTCTTTCAGGGCAATATGTGGGTGGAATGGAATTTCTTTCTTTCTTTTTTTGGAATTTCTATTGTTAGTTTTGTTTTGTTTTTTTGAGGCACGGTCTTCCTCTGTAGTTCAGGTTGGCCCTGAACTCACTATGCAGCCCAGGCTGGCCTTGAACTCGAGGCGATCCTCTTGCCTCAGTATGCGCCGCTATGCCAGGCTCTAATTTTTTGAGGAATCTCCATACTGATTTCCATAGTGGTTGTACTGGTTTACATTCCTCCCAACAAGAAGGGTTCCTTTTCCCCCAGAGCCTCATCAGCATTTGTTATTACTTTATATCTTGAAGACAGTCATTCTTTCTGGAGTTAACAGAATTTCAGTGCTTTTAATTTGCATTTCTCCAATGGCCAGCATTGTCAAACATTTTTTCATATATTTATAGGCCATTTGCATTTAAGTGTCTCATTTGTTTCAGTTGCCCATTTTTGGATTGAGTCTTATTTTGGGGAGAGTCTAATTTTTTGAGTTATTTATCTATTTTAGGTATTAGTACTCTGTCAAGAAGTATTCAACTCAGGAAGATTTGCCTGCATCAGCCTTGCAAGTGCTGGGATTTCAGGCGTGCACCACCACGCCTAGCTAAATAATGGTCATTTGACTTCTTCCTTTGCTATATGTGTCCCTTTTATTTCTTGCCCTTGCCTAATTGCCAAAACTAAACTTTAAAATATATTTTAAGTGATTCAGTCTTATGATATTTACAATGGTTAATATCTGTCTCTTCTCATTAGAGACAACTCAACGTGAAAGAAAATTAAAGCCAGTGCCTCCAATAGCTTATTTACTGCAAAAACACCACATACCAAGTACCTTCTACTTGGGTAGGCATTCCCATGCTTGTTGACAGACTCTCTGCTTTATTCCTTAAAGCCATAGCAACAAAGATGACAGCAACAGCCAAGAACAATGAACAAGTGCTTCTCCCACCTGGTGCTAATCTCAGTCAACAGAGGTAAATTGATTTACCTAAGTCAACAGAGGGGAACTGGGCAAGATCCCTTACACTGCGTTTCCCAAGGTCTATAAAGGTCTGAAACTAAAGTGGTCTTCATAAATATGGTGCCAAAATTCATGCTGGGGCTAAGTGAGGCTGTGGGGACATTTACAATCTTTGTTCTACCTGGTGCAGAGTTAATGTGGTTTGCTTGTTTTGTGGTGTGGGGATGAAGCCAGAGCCTCAGCACGCTAAACTTGGCTCTATCATTGAGCCACTCCCCTACCTCCTACTGTGTTTACTTAAAAGGTCCTTCCTGGACCCCAGTGGGGGAACTGTGGAATCAATGTCATCTTTACTTCCTCACTGAGGGAATGGAGCCTGGGCCCTGGGGAAAGGTAAGTATACAGATTCTTTTTAAATAAAGAGGATATACTTGAATGGATTCTTTTCAGAGATCAGGGACCCTCCTGAGATACCCAAATTCCAAGTACTGATGATTTCAGTGTTGAAGAAACACTGAAAGTATTCTTTGGAGAGTTCACTCACAGAGAAGCCTCATAATGTAAGAAGTACCAACCCACACCTCTCCATTGTTTGTACAACTAGCTTCTGGAAACCTGTGTGTTCTGCAAAAGGGCTGCTACCAGAGTGGTCTCTGATTTTTAGGTAATGTAGTCCATCTGTCAGTCTGTCTGTTCATCCTTCCTTCCTTTATATATATTTATGGGGTCTTGCTATGTTGGCTGGGCTGGCCTTGAACTCCTGGGCTCAACTGATCCTCTTGCCCCAGCCTCATGAGAAGCTGGGACGATGGGTGTGCAGCACCACCACGCCTAGGAACATAATGTGGTACAGTTGTCATTTGGTATCTGAGGACTGGTTCCAGGACAACACCTTCCACCTAAGATTAGCCAAATCCACAGTTGCTTAAGTCCCTTAAGCAAATAGCATATATCTGCATATAACCTCTGCACATGCTCCTGAATACTTCATCTGTGGATTAAATACTTAATACATTGTAAATACTGTATAAATAGTTGTTATGCTGTATTGTTTGGGAATAATGACAAGAAAAAAGTACATGTGCAGGGCTGGGGATTTAGCTCAGTGGTCCTGTGCCCGTCTGGCAAGCACAAGGTCTTGAGTTCAATTCCAGATACCAAAAAAAAAAAAGAAAAAAAAGAATTAA